TCTAGGATCCGTGTCTTTCTTAAAGGCGCATCCAACTCCCGACCTCCCGTGGTGCACCAATACCCTTCCTGGGAGCTCCCTCGGGTACTTCGGGCGCTCGTCAAACCCCCCTTTGAACCCATTAACATGGTATCTTTGCGGGCTTTGTCTCTTAAGGTCGCGTTCCTTGTAGCTATCACGTCTGCCAGACGTATCTCGGAACTAGCTGCCCTTTCAATCAGGGAGGATCTCTGCGTTTTCCATCAGGACCGTGTGGTCCTTCGCTTAGATCCTACATTTGTACCTAAAGTCAACTCGATTTTTCACAGGACTCAGGAGGTCGTTTTACCAAATTTCTCTCCCAATCCTTCTCACGATCTGGAACGTCAGTGGCGCACACTAGACGTTCGCAGGGCACTAAAGCGCTACATCAAACGCACAGCGCCCTTTAGGAAGTCTGAGGCCCTTTTCATCTCGTTTCGTCCGTCCTCTCTAGGACAGAGGGTGTCCACCTCCACCATTGGCAGGTGGATTAGGGCCTGCATCGCGGAGGCGTATAAGTCCTCCTCCCTGCCGGTTTCAGATCGTATCACGGCGCACTCCACTCGCAGCGCTGCAACATCTGCGGCGTGGGCCACTCAGGCTTCCATCGAGGAAGTTTGCAGAGCTGCGACATGGTCTTCACCTTCCCCATTCGTGCGCCATTATAAAATTGACCGCTTCGCCTCGGCTGACGCCTCCTTTGGTAGGAGGGTACTCCAACAGGTGATTGCGGGGACCGCGGATTCGGCCTTGCCTGATTCCCACCCGTTGGGACAGTGAGGCTTTGGTATGTCCCACCGGTGGATTCTCCATCTCCTGTACTGGAGAAGGGGCGTTGTCTTACCTGAACGCCTTTTCTCAGTACGGAGATGGAGAATCCACACCCACCCTTAGGTCAGTCAGGCCGTTATTAGGGGTAGGAGAGCCAATACCTAGTGCATCATTAGCCGCCTTCGCCCTCAATAAGACTGGGTCTCACAGCAACAGGGGGCGTGTCAAAGTTTGGCTACTTGGTCTCAGGAGCAGGCATCCAATGAAAACCCACCGGTGGATTCTCCATCTCCGTACTGAGAAAAGGCGTTCAGGTAAGACAACGCCCCTTCTCAGGGATGCATAGGCTGGTTGTAGGTTGATGTGTCAGTTTATGGAATTGTTTGTGGAGTGCCAGGCTTTGATAAACTCGCATGCATGGCAGGTGATAGTGTAGCCAATGGTTCTTGTATTGCTCCAATTGAATTGGTGCTGTTCAGTTTCATTGTGGGATTTGGGATCATGGCAATTGAATGAGCTGGTGTTCATGGATTATGGTTTTCAATTTATGTGATGTTTGTCCCATGTAGAATTGTTTGCAATTGTTACAGTTGATTTTGTAAATTACATTGTTTCTTTCATCCTTCTGTATCTTGTCTTTGGTTCTGGATAATTCCTGGAGGAGTGTGCCTGTTAGTTTGTGCACTATTGTTATTACTAGAAGAATTCTGACGTTTCCAACACTCCCTTTATGTATGGTAGAATTAGATTTTGCAGGGTGGTTGACTGTGCGGTAGTTTGGGTGCTGTGTGTTGGAATACAAAGTTTTTACGATAGTCATTGCAGAGAAAGATGTCAAGCAACTTGTTTCTCTTCTGCTTTTCTTAGTGCTGTGGTGCTACAGTATGTCCTGGCCCTTCTGAAAAGGGCCACCTTACATAAAAGCAGCTGCGTCCAAACCCTCTTCAGCCAAACTCTATTTCCAGTCTGCATTGTGCAGATCTACCACGGACAATATTTGGGAGAGGTGATAGAAGGGGAAATTTAGCCATATTTGTATATTATTTATTTATAACTCAAGGCAGCAAACATACCTAATATTCCTTCCTAGTCTTGATACCTCAAATATCAAGGCTCAAATACCTATATATACTTTTCAATAATCCTCTTTTGCTTCAAAACACAATTTAAGGATTAAACAGATAAGTTTCTGATAAGGATCACATTCGTTATTTTGATTGCAGGTGATATGCAAGAAAGAAGAGAAAGAAGCAACCCTCCCCTGAAAAGTGTAAAGAAAGATTCTACAAAGCCCGATAAACTAAAATGCAAACCACTTACTGGGAAAGTGTTCTATCTTGATATTCCATCTAACATCCTCTCTGAAAAAATTGCAAAAGATCTTAAGGAACTAGGAGGGGTAAGTCAATATGTATGTTTTGCTTTATGATAGGAAAGAAATAATGCAGATTCAGTTTGAGTATATTATATTCTTGCTAAGTCCAAATTCCTAGCTTTTCTCTCTCTTTACAGCCTGCCTTTCAGCTACATTTAATGCTACATGGTTAGGGTCTTTTTATAAAAAAAATGCCATTTCTCCAAAATTTTCTATCAAATTATTTTATTCAGAGTTGAGGGCAGCTGGGACTTCCTGGGGCAGAGGCTTTGTGTTGCATTGCTGGGACCTCCTGGAGCAGTGCTGTGAACTATGATGCTGGGCTGTGGCTTTGCACCACACTGATGGGCAATTGCTTCATGCCATGCTGCTTCGGCTTTCCAGGGTGATGGCTTTGTGCCATGGTGTGGTCTTCTTAGAGCCCGAGAGCCATGGCATACCAAGAAGCCCCAGAGCAGTGGCATGACAAGTAGCTGCCTAGAAATGTAGTTTGGGGACTGCTTGCTGCTCTGTAAGAAAGGTTGAGGGGGGGGGAAGTCAGAGATATGGTGAAGATAGGTGCGTGGGAGGAGGAGGAATTCCCTTATTTTACCAAGCTTCAAGTTGGGAGGAATCAAACCCAGAATGGCTTGGATTGGGATAGGTACTTAATGATTCGTGATTCATGATTAATGACAACAACAGAATGTATAATGTAATGTTGCTCTTTACAACTGCATTGTTTAGTGATAGGAATTCCAGTCCCAGTTTCGGTCATAAGTCCAGGATTACCTGCATATTATAAATATATTTGTGGCATGTTATATTAACTATATTGCATGATCTACATTAATTTTTGAAACATTTGTGATTTGAAATACTCTTTTTGTATATCCTAACATAATCCTTCTCCCAATCTAGCTGCTTATAGTCAATGAATGAGAATTGGAGATTCTGTGAAGTAAGCAATATTTCTCAAATATTAGTGAAGGGGGAATATTAGATACCTTAAAGCTATGTTGAGTATAATCTATAGTGTTCCCATTCCAAAATTATATTTTTCTTCTTTTTTTTTCAATTAGAAAGTTGAAGAATTCCTCAGCAAAGACATTAATTACTTGATCTCTAATAAAAAAGAAGCAAAATTTGCAGCCCTTGGACAAGTATCTTCAGTCCCAAGCCCAGAATCTGTATGTAATGGTGGGAATAGTTCACCTCATCCAAGCAGCAGAAGAGACAAGACTGAGGGTAGTACATTTAAGCTGGCCGACACGGTAAGTTTCATTCTTACTTCTTCCTTTACTCTCTACTAACCCTGCACAAATGCTGCATGTTAAGGAAAGAAAGTTCTTTATAACTTTTTATATCTTTCAAAGCTAGTCAAACTTTAGGCAGTTCCTTGAGCTGAGAAAGGTTTCATGAAAATACTCTGGGAAACCTGTAGCCCAGTGGTTCTCAACCTGTGGGTCGGGACCCCATTTGGGGTCGATCGACCATTTCATGGGGGTCGCCAAGCAAGGCTGTCCGCCATTTTTTTTGTCTGCCATTTTTTCCCCCTTTTCCGGTGGGTGCCTTACCTCCCTTGGGCTGGGCCAGCTGGTGGTCGGCCTGCTCCGTCTCTGCCACTTGCCAGCTACGCCTCAGCCGGCGCAGGGGACGGAACCACGCATGCACGGCGCTCCCGGGCAGGGAAAGTCCTCGACT